TTTTTTTTTTTTTTTTTTTTTTTTTTCGGGGTCCGTTTTTGGCCCTAACGGCCGAACGCATCCCCAAGGGGTCCCATACATTTGGGCGTTCGGGTTTGGGCGTTCGGCCCGTCCCGAACGCCGGTTACCCTGTATATATCGTCAAATAGAACTGCCCGGTAAACCGTAGGCAGAGAGGGAGAAGAGGACAACAAACGAGGGGCTGTGAATTTGAATTTTTATTTTAAATTTGGTAAAGAATTTCGATGTGACCCTGAGGCAAAAGTTGTTCAGTTTATTTTTTTGCATAACATAGTTTTTGTTCCGGATTTTTTTTTTTTTGCCTGGGACCTTCCCTAGTCCTTGCACGGCCGGGCCGCCCGGGAAAATAGGGTGACCCGGACGGCCCGGCTGGTAGCCTAGACGTACAGTCATTTTCGCTGCATCTGGACAGAAAGGTGCGCCAAATATGACTACAATGACCGTACATTCTATTCGGTTGACGACGGTACCTTCCTCGTTTCTGCCCTTGCTCTCTCCCTTCTTCACTGCTTTCTTTCACCCCCTCTTTCTAGCGGTGCACTCCGTCTTTTTCTTCTTTTTTGAAAGGGCGGCGATGGCCTTGAGATATCATCATCGAACTGAGCGTCCCCAGGTAATACAGAATTTTCGTTCATCTAGTGCCGTTCGGATTCAAACTCAGGTCTGTATTATTTCAACAGTTCATGGGTGTACCAACTGAGCTAGGCCCGCTGGTTGGTGATGCCTTATCAGTTCCTGTAGTAAACCGGGAAAAAAAAAAAAAAGTTGGTGATGCCTTCCCCCTTCTTCCCTCCCTGCTTGCGTCCCTTCCACCCGTCCTTCATGCCTCTCTTCGCCCACCCAACCTCACTTCAGTCTCTTTTTCTGCTTTCGGGAAGTGTAGGGTAATCGCGTTCCTTGTGGATTGAAATTTGAAACTACATTCTAGCGGAGTGGTGCTTGGCCCAGCTATCGGCCGCAGCGCTTCCCCGTTAACGCGCCCCACCTTTAGGGCTTCGGGGTACCGGACCACAATGGCTGGAAGAGCCAGCCAAAAAGAAATCGAAACGGTACCCCTGCTCTTCGGCAAAAATTGGCGCGCAGGGGCATTCCAGGCTCGGCATCGATAGCTGGGCCAAGTACTGGTGGTTTAACTTTCCGACGTTTCCGTCTATTTCCAAACTCCTCCAAGATCTGAAATTTGTGCAAAGACTAAATTATACAAGTAGCTGGACAGAACATTGGCAGAAGTGAATGCACATCACACAAGTAAATAAGATAAGCCACTTAAGTTCAAGGGGAAACTATGCGGGAGTCGCAACGAATGAGTTATAATTGCACTATGGGCCAAGATTCAGTTTCGACTTGCAGTTCGGGCAATGATGTATACAACCCAGCTTTCTCGCCCGGTGTAGGGTGCCCGAAGTGTAATTGCAAACTGTATCTTGGCCCCATA